GACTCGACTACATGGGAGTCCAGCAACATAGCCATTAGGCCAACTGCTGGTCCCCTTTTCCAAATTTTAACCATGATAGAGAGCACGTGCATGTGTGTGTGTGTGAGTGTGTATGTGTGTGTGTGTGTGTGTGAGAGAGAGAGAGAGAGAACGAGACATAGAAAGGGAGAGAAAATCACCCTCAACAAGGTCTTGTCATGCCATGATTGCCGTGCCTGGTCCTCCAGCTTGTCAGCTCTTGGATGCCTGTGAGTGTACCTGGCTTATTTTCAGGCTGACTTGGGGATCTGAACCCAAGGCTGGTCATGCGGCTTCCAGCACTGCGGTTTAGTTTGCCGCCGACTGTGCAAGTAGGCTAAGCCTCTGTTCTTCTCCTATAAGATACTCAAGATGACAATTAGCCACGCGCTAGGCCCCAATAATCCAAGATGATCATCTTCCCATGTCAAGATCCTTTACCTAATCATTTCTGCGAAGTCCTTTATCCAAAGAAAATCATGTTTACAAGTTCTGGGACTAGGACCTGATATCATGGGGACCGTTATCAGCCTGGCCAGGAAGGCAGGTCAATTACCTCCATTTAGCAGAGGAGGACTCAAGCCCAAGTGAGATCAAGTGCCTTGCCTCAGGGGAAACACAAGATTGTATTCTGCCATCTGAGCCAGCTGCCAGGATAATGAGGCCTTCTGGACTGGTGGGTAAGCAAAGTTGTGGAGCCCCTATGCAGATACGAGGACGGGTGGTGCTGCTGGTATGTTGTCACTGGCGGGGAGTCACCAGGTCAGGGAAGTGTTGGCATCCAGGTGTGTAACCGGTTGAAAGACACCCAGCTTGCTGCGGCAAAACTTGGGCCCTGGGCCCAAGGACTATGACTTAGGGAAGATGCTGACAAGAGTGCCATGCATTTCCCTGGGGTCGAATTGGCTCAGACAGGTGCACGGTTTCGCTAGGGACCACCATCCAGCCAGAAGCCACACTCACAACTTCCAGAGGCCAAAATGTTACTGGGAAATTATTGGAGTCATTCAATAAATAATTTATACCAAACTCTATTTACTTAGAAGGCAGTTTTATGGCAGATTCTATATAATTTATTTAGAAAGTATATTTTATATTTTATTTCCATATGTCGATTTTAATTACTGGCCCAGTTGTTGAAGTGTTTTCTTTTTCTTTCTTTTTTCTTTTTTTTGCATTTAACATCAACTCTAAGTGGCAGAGCTCTTAGGCAGGTATGCCTAGACTTCAGAACAGAGGACATTTAGAAGAGGGAACACTAGCTGACCATGTTTCCCCACCTCTGTCAGTTACAGTCGGGTGGTTGGATGTTCTCTGGAAGGTCTTTTAGTTCTTCCCCTTTCCTGCCATTCTGGAATTCACTGTCCTGCAAAGTCCTGTCTCTGCCTCTCAAGAGATGCTAACCACAGGCAAAGTGCTACGTGGACTGAAAGAATCACAGGTGACAGGGCGGCGCCTTGAGGGCTGGACAGGAGCTCGGACGTGGGTGATCCACAGGTTCCAGTGAAGGCAATGCTCTGCCACAGCGCAGCTCTCTGATGGCAGTCACGCTAGTTAGCCTCTGAGCTTCAGTTTCTCCCTCTACACGCAGTGATAAGAAGGTCTAGCTTGGGAGCAGGCAGGTGGAGTGGTAGTTGGGGTGGCTGCACTCCCACATGGCTGACCACGGTTTGAGTCCTAGACCTGGCAGCTTGCTTTCCCACTTTCCTTCTCTCTTTCTGTCTCTCTCTGGCCAACTTAAAATAAGTGAATAAATAAAAATGACAATGAATAAAATTAAATAAAATAATTCTTAAAAAAAAAAAGGTCTTGCTTGAAGAATTGTCATATAGTGACATAAGAAAATATATTGAATACACGGCACCCAAATGTTCCCAGTGGTTATTCCTGAGATGTATGGTAGAAGTTTTCCTGTCACCTTTGAATTCATATATAGTCTTTAATTAGGTACATTGAGCCTGTACATTTTAAAAAATAAAACTGACAAAGCTGATTTGGAAAAAAAAAAGAGAGAGAGAGAAAAGGTAAGGAAGTGCGACTCAGGCTGCAAACCTCACTCCTTCAAGCCTCTGCATGAAGCCACAACCAACCCAGGGAGTGGCCCAAATCCACAGACCTGTTCTTCTTAATAACAGCTATTTCTAAGCCTGGCACTTTGCAGACATGGCTTCATCTCATTTTTATAATGACACTATAAGGCAGGTATTATCATTAATTAGGTACATTGAGCCCGTACGTTTTAAAAAATAAAACTGACAAAAATGATTTGGGAAAAAAAAAAAAAAAAAAGAAGAGAGAGAGAAAAGGTAAGGAAGTGCGACTCAGGCTGCAAACCTCACTCCTTCAAGCCTCTGCATGAAGCCACAACCAACCCAGGGAGTGGCCCAAATCCACAGACCTGTTCTTCTTAATAACAGCTATTTCTAAGCCTGGCACTTTGCAGACATGGCTTCATCTCATTTTTATAATGACACTATAAGGCAGGTATTATCATTCTCGTTGTGCACATGAATAAATCAAGGCACAGACTAGAGAGGGAATTTGCCCCCAGGTCACACGGCAGGGATTTGAACCCAGCCTGTTCCCTGAGCCAGGCGCTTCCCCTGTGTCTAATCCAGCTTTGGGACTGAGGCGTCCTCACGCCATCCCATCACTGCCACCTTCAGGGCAAGTGCACAGCCTGCTCTCGGCTTATTCCCACGAGTAGCAATTTACTGCTATAAAACCAACTGAGGACCACCCGACCTGACAGCGGAGGGGCAGTCCCTGATGACTGACAGAGTGAGCTTGCCTGGGCCTGATCTGGGATCAGCACCCGGATCATGTCTCTCAGCCACCGAGGGCTGCACTGGGTCGTCTGGGTGCTGCTGGTGAGCAGTGACACTCCCGAGGAGCAGGACAAGCCCTGGACGTGGAGTCCACTCCCAGCTTTGTCCCTAATCAATCCAGCAGCTCGAGGAAAGCTGTTTCCTCTTGAGACTGTGAAACAGAAGGGCTTCTAGGCCTCATGTTCTCCCAGTGTCTTAATTCCAAACATGAAAAGCTCACGGTTAAAAATTTCAACCAGAAGCGTAAAAATAAATCCTCATTTTTCTGTGAGCTCTTCCTTGTCCCTCCCGCAGGCCCCCTAACTCTGGTATTTTTATTCCCTTCAAAATAACCTTTTCAAAAGACACCTGCAAGGGATGGCAATGGCCTTTCTGTGGAGAAGGTGCTTTATGCTCTACGGGGGGTCACCATTAGCATTTGGGAAGAGGCTCTCTGTCCCCAGGACGGCAGATTCAAGATAGACCTCCTGGGAGGACAGAATGCCACAGGAAATTCACAGAGCAACTTTCTGAGACTCCATGCTTCCCTGAGACCCTTGGCCAGGAGAGAGCCAGGACTCCCCAGGCAGCAGCTTTTGATGTGAATCAGAAAGATCTTCAAGGGGTTACTTGGGTATTTTGGCCACAAACCAAGAGGAAAAAAAAAGAGCTTTAAAAAATACATAATTTGTGTAAAATTATTCAAGTCTAAATCTATCTGAGCTATTTTTCATCTGCTATTTCAGACATGCTCTGTGATCTCAACAGAGTCGTGGTGATGAAGTCTTGTAATTTTGAGGGGATCAGGAAGGGATGGGACCTCGGAGGCAGATAGACCTCTTTAGGAAGTGGAAATGAACCAGGAAGCAAAAGCAGCATTCTTGAAAGGACAGGGACCTTGGGGATCATCCCTTCCAGGAAAAGTAAACAGTTCTCATTCTGATGTCTACTCCAGGGGACTGACTGGTAGGCGGTTTCTGGGGAGGCCTGTGTCAAAAGGAACACTGAGGCCGCTACTGAGCCCAGGTGGGAGGGGAGCTGCGGTAGACTGCTAGGACTGCTACACAAATCGCCACCAACCTGGCAGCTGAAAATGTCAGCAGGGTACTTGTGCACAGTTCTAGAAATCAAGGTGACAGCAGGCCAGACTCCTTCCAAAAGCTCTAGGGAAGCATGCTCCCTGCCTCTTGCAGCTTCTGATGGTGGCTGGTATTCCTTGGCTTATGGCAGCATCACTCCATTCTCTGCCTCTTTGCACAGCTTCTTCCCTTGTGTTTCTCTGTAAGTTTCCCTCTCCTTCCTCTTCTTAAGACACCAGTCATTGGATTTAGGGCCCACTCTGAATCCGGGATAATTTTATCTTGAGATCCTTAACCAATTACATCTATACAGACTCACTCTGGCCCACAGCACAGTGGTTCAGAGAATCAGATCTCACATGGCCAACTGAAGTTAGATCCTGGACCTGCAGGCTTGAAAATACAGTGGGCATGTGTGTGCCCCAAATCCTGATGGAAGGAAAAATGGAGGAGAAAGGGCTGAAGAGTGACAGTGCACCATTACAGGGAGCTTGCTTTCTCTCTAGTGAGTGCACACACCCTCTGGCAATTCAAAATAATCTATTTCTAAGTCAAGTCACATTCTGAAGTTGTGGGTGGGTATGTATTTTAGGGGGACACTATTCAACCCAGCATAGCTGCTCTGATGGCCTAATGAGTTCAGGACTGGGCAGGAGAGTAATCAGATCTTCTATCTGCCATCCCCAGTAGCCCAAGCCCATTGTCTTACAGATTTTCAGAGCTGAGGTTCAGATAATAACAGGGACTTGACCAGTGCCATATAATTAGGTAATGCCCCAGGAGACAAGAACAAAGAAAGGAAAACATACAGAGGTGGGTAGGAGGCGGAGATGAAGGGGCGGGGGTTGGAGGAGATGACAATGAATGTTACTGGCTTATTGTGAAATAACTGAGAAAGATATCATTGCATTTGAAATCATTGTCCAAAGAGGATGTAGATGGGGTAAGAAAATGGTAAGAAACCAAGGACAGAGAAAAACGTAAGCATGTGGGCAGAATTAGTGCCATCCCGGGAGTCAGTTTACAGGGGATCATATGCCTTTTTTTGGCCAAAAGGATGAGAGCTCCTCTCACTGGGTAAAAGCCTTTCTAGACTGGTCCCTGAAAACATCATGCGTACAGATGCCTGCTGGTTGCCATGGTGAATGATGCTGATCTGAAGAAATGAATAATGTGAGCGTTGGGGGCGACAGTGGGATTACTCAGGCAGTGGTGAGAGAGACATCAAGGGGAGCCCACAGTGGAGGAGGGAGAAGGCACCATCCTTTCTCCTTTGGCCCACTCCACCACAGAGGGCAGAAGCTCTAACCAGACAGACTGCGAACATCAGGTAAGAGACGCAGATGGCTCTTCTTGGAAATGAAACGGCTTTTCTTCACACTCTGCTTGGAGAGGGGCCAAGCAATGGTAAATGAATAGCTAAAAATAGGCGGAATTTAGAAATAGAAGTGGAAGAAGAAAAATAAATAAGGGAGATGGATTTGGTTTTAAAATCTGAGGATGCTGCTTGCGTCTTGACAGAAAGCTCTTAAAAATGTCTGCTGTAGCCTGCAGGGCTGGCCAGTAGCAGGCACAAGGCACATGGAAGCAGAGATGTGTGCGTGAAAAGAAATAGGGTTCCTGCATAGTCTAATGGCAGGGTTTACAAGGGTGGCTGCCCATGCATCATCAATAATGAATTAACTCTTTTCATTGCGTTTGACAGTGTATTTATAGGGATGTGTGGAGTGTGGGGTGGGAGGATGGGTGTGAATAAGGAGACCACGGGAGGGAGTAGCCATTCAGTCTCCTTTGCCATGACGTTCCCTGGAAGGTCTGAGCACATCTGTCTCACCCCATTCATTCATCTTTTCTGGGGAGAAATTTCCAGCCAAATGGATAGAAGCTATTCTTCCTGAGTATTTCAGCTCACTGTCATCCTTAGAGAAGAAAAACAAGGACTGGAAAGTGACTCAATGTGGTGCATTTGTCTGCAGCTCAACTCCCGTAGGAATACGGGCACAAAACCAGGAGGTTGGGGCAGGCAGGGGAGACAGAAAGGCAGGTTGACACAGAAATCGTTGTGGTTTAATATCCAGTCCAGGTTAAAATCTTGCTTTTTGACCATGTCACTGCAATCCAAAACAAAACCTGTGCTTCTGAGAGGGAGGAGGGGTAGAGAACAAAGTGGGGCAAGACCTTTCCATGAGCATGCACAGGCTGACTCTGACCGCCCCCAGGTTTCTGGTAATCAGGGGAAACCCCGGGAAAGGGAGCTGGATCTCTTACATAGAATTAAAGAGGAATTAAAAACACGGAGATGGCATTCTCTTTCCAAAGCGGGAAGGCAAACAGTCTGAAGGGGGCTTGTTGATTTGTTTGGAAAAACAGCAACTGGTCATAGTGCCGGCACCTCATTTCACAATCACTCTCTGGTATCAAACCTGGTAGCCTTGCACGGGAAGTAAAAGTGGCTTAGAGTCCTCTTTCTACATGTTAGCTAAGTGGCCGCAGGCTGCTCATCTGTAAAATGGGACTCTAGCTGCAAGGGTGTGGCAAATAATAAGGAATATATTACTCCATGGGAAGCACCTGGCACGACTTGTCGTGGTTCACAGTACCGGCAGTATTAAATAGTAGTAGTTATGCTGAAAAATGATGAGCTAGTTATCTTGACCTATGAAACGAATTTCCTGGTACCTTCATTTTGAAAAAGCAATGGAATAAAACACATACAGAGGCTTTGGGGAAAAGTCAGCTGCCAGGGAGTGACAAGCAAATCTCCACTTGCCTTGGGCAAGGTCCCAGGAGGTTAAGCAAACCAGTGGGCAGAATGTTCTAGATAACTGAGCTCCTAGCACTTGGAGCAGGTGCTGGAGGTCAAGAGGGGAAATTTCAGGTGGAACAATCGCTTCAGGGGAGGTCACAGATCTATGAGGACTAAGGTAGGGCCTCTGAGCTTCTACTGATACTGCTTTTCTTCTTTTTTAAAGGGTTGAGAACAAGGTGGCATCTAAAGGCACTTGGCCAGGGGGGGATGTGGCTGGGGTTACACGGGTGTGTCATTTTTTAGGACTGAAGGCCTCCAACTTTGGCATAAGTAAGCCCCAATTCACACTTTTGTTCTGCCACTTGTTTGCTATGCCTAGCGAAATGACGTAACCTCTCAGCCTTCATTCTTTACCTATAAAATAGGGGGATATTCGTCCCCATTTCAAAGGCTTCATAAATGGTGACTAGGATCATGATCATTAAAGAGGGGGATGTCACTCTTCACTTTGATTCTGGTTCCAGAATCGGGATGAACATCGAGGTTGGGAATGTTTCTTATACGGGCGCCATCATCTCCTGGTCGTCCTCGGAGCCCTGCCTGGAGGACTATTACCATATTATGTACAGGCCCAATTGGAACAGCATCTTCTCTGGCTATCTTCGCTACAGCTTCCACCACGAGGAGAAGGTGCCTCGCACGATCAGCTCGGTGGTGCTGGAACATCTCGCGCCTTCCACCCTCTACTTCCTGTGCATCAGCTGTAAGAAGGCTGCCTTCCCCTACAGGCACTACTGCACCATGTTCCACACCCTGGATAAGAGCCCGCTGGCTGCTGGAAGCTCCTTGGTGGACCCTCAAATCTCCCTTTGGGTGCTGATGGCCATTCTGCTGGCCTGTTTCACAGCTGTCTTAGCCTTCATCTGTCTCCAGTTCTGGTGCATCCGCTGCCATGAGCCTAGATGGTCTTACAGAGCAGGCCACATGGAAGAAGCCAATGGGTTGGTGAGATGGCCAGAGGAGGTTCCCGCTCTTGGTCAGAGAGAGGAAGACCTTCAGGGGCTACCCCTAGTGGAAGTGCCACGCAAGGATTCTGGAGCTAGAGCTGAACCAGAAGCTGAAGGCAACCAGGATGCCCCGGATGTGGATGTCTTACACAGAGAGGGTGGTGATCAACCTGCCATGCGGCCTAATTACAGAGAGTGAGGGGTGGGGAGGAAACAGCCCGCATTAGGTAGCCTAGAGCTTGCCACACAGTAGGTCTTCTGTAAAAATGTGTCTATAGACTACCCATTTCTCTCTCCCAACTTCAAGTCCTATTGTGGATCACCTGGTCTCGATGAATGCCCAATGACAAAGTTTCCCGTGCTAGAAAGCCTATATCCCCAGGGTGTATCAAAGGATGAACACAACATTTCTTCAGCAGTGCCCATCAGGAAGCCCAGTTAAGAACTGAAAGCCTTCTTTCAAAACTAAACAAGCATGCATATATTCTAGAGTAGAATGTAAAATCTGCATGACTTATATAAAACACAATACTTTAAGGAAATTTTGAGTTGCAGGTGGGCTCTCTGAGCTGTGTTTTCAGTAGGCTGAGGTAGATGTCCAGTCTCCTCTGCAATAGAGGGGTTATTTTGGAAAAGCATAAGAAGTCTTGCTCTAGAGCATTTTCCAATTTTTAGGCAATCCTACAATACCTTATACCCCGTATTCATTTTTTTTTTAAAACTATGGACTAGCTTCACTATTAGCCATAATACTTTCCTTTAAATTGACCCATTTTTAAACCTATTTTAATGAAACAGCATTATATTTATTTATTTCCCTCATACATTGAAAACCCTACACCCTTCTGGTATGCATAGGAGGGAAAATATGTAAGAACAATATAATGAAAGTGGAACCGGCAGGTGGCATGGTGGTTAAGGGCACTAGACTCCCACATAGCTGACCATGGTTTGAGTCCCAGACTGGAGGCTTGCTTTCTCACTTTCTCTCTCACTGTCCCTCTGGTCAAATTAAAAATAAGAAAATAAATAAAGTTAAATAAAATAATTATTTAAAAATATATATAATGAAAGTAAAATAATATTCAATTTGACTTAGCTACTATTGTCTGCCAATGACTCTGAGCACCTTGTCTTTGATAAAAAAAAAAAAAAAAAGAGATTGGCCAGGGTCAGCAGGTGGTATGGAGGTTGAGGTGCTGAGTCCCACATAGCTGACTGCACAGTTCAAGACACGGACACAGTAGCTTGAAAAAAAAGCTGGGCACATATGTGTGCGTGTATGCCCAAAATCCAAAGAGGAGAATAAAGTAAAGAGATTGCAGTGTGGCCATCCCCCTTGGGGCATGATTTCTGTTCTCTCTGTCTCTCCAGCAAGCATATGAGCCCTATAGCAAAAACTTGTCTTGAAAAAAAAAGACAGAGACAGAGAGAGAGAGAGGTTGGCCAGTGTTAAAGTATTAAAGACATACTAGCTAGTATTAAAGACATACTAGCATCAAGGTCAACAGGTGGTGTGGTGGCTAAAGACACTGGATTCCCACATGGCTGACTGCGGTTTGAGTCCCAGACCTGGCGGCTTGCTTTCTTGCTGTCCTTTTCTCTCTCTCTCTTCAAATAAAAAAGTAATAATAATAACAAATGAAATTAATTAATTAAATAAATATTTTTAAAAAGGTATATGTTAGCCCCAACATATATCTTCTTCACGACTATATTATAAGGATTGAAAGAGAATAGAAAGAAAAGGAGACACTGCTTTTACGTTGTGAGTCACTGTTAATGCCATGTCTGTGAGTCACCTCTAATACTATCCCCATGCTTCCCTGTGAGTTGAGAGAATCACCTTGACCAGGTCGACTGTTCTGGAAAAGACCCCTGTACTCCCAGCCTTGTCCTAAGCTGTTCAAGTGCCCCCTTTAGGTCTAAGTGGTGGGCTCCCACCTTGTTTAACCACACTCCAAACCTGGAACTCCCAGACATAGAGGAGTACCTTTTCCACCACTACTGTATTCATTCAGTCAGTTCCATTTCTAAGTCCATCTAGTCTTAACTTTTTGAAAACGGTTTGGTCAAAGGTAGCTGTTTTTTCCCCACATTTTCTTCTTTTGTTGTTGACACAGCGTGCCATTTTGAGGGCATTATTTATTCCCTTTATACAAACCCCTGTGGTAAGAAATGGATCTCCTACAGACGTTGTGGGATAGGTGAGACTTTGTGGTGTAGAATAGAACTCCAGGAGGGTAGAGACGACAGTTGTTTGATTCCTTATGTTTCCTCAGCATGTAAAATCTAGCCCTAAATCTGGCCTACAGTGCGTGCTTGATACACGTCTCTTTAATGAATGGGAAGATCTACAACACGCCACCATTTACAAGTGTTTCTGTGGCACAGAAATGTGTGTGTGAACGAAACAGCAAAGAGACAGGAAAACGCCTGTGTCTCAGCTCTAGCTCATGCCATCTGCAATTTTCTCTAAAACTCCACCTTCCCCAACCCTTCGTGTCTGCAACATCCCTTATCTTTTGTGGAACACCAAATCCCAAACTCACAGGATGATGCTTAAATGAATCAACTGAGAAACAGGAGAGACAGGAAGCCAAGATGAGAAGCCCCACGTGCCTATTTCCCTCTGCACCTCAGTGAAGTCCTCCCCTCTCCTGCTCAGCATTGAGCCCCTCATCCCCACCAGGTCTGTTTGCCTCCATCCCTGCTTACTGTGAACGAATAAAGGTGAATATACATGCAGTTATTACTGTCTGGATCTCACTGCTGCCTCTTTATCTCACCTTGTCGCTTTCCTGACTCAGGGAATATTTTTCTATTTGCCTGTTCTCACTAGTGCTCTTGGAGGTAAGCCAGGGCAGGTTACTTACCTTGGATCCATAGAGGTAATAAGGCTGGACATTGGCGGGTTTATCTCGTTGTGGTTCTTGAGTGAAAGGAATGGCAGTTCGGACAAAACTAGAGGAAAAGAGAAGAGTGAACTGGATATTAATATTCTTCATGGGACCTAAGACAGGAGCCCTTCATGACCAGGTGTAGGTTCATACCAATACACCTGTACCATTTCTTAGGTATGGAGCCCTCCTGACAGTTCCCATTCAACCACACCCCCTTTCCATAGGTGGGAAAACTGCAGTCTAAATCCCTGGTCTTGTCTTGGGGTTTGGAGCTGCTCAGAATAGCAGGCAAGAAAGTGGGCATGGGCTGGGTCTGAAAATAGCCTTCTCCAGGCTACATCTCTCTACCTCTAGTCTGGTTTTATGAGAGTAGGATTCAGAAAACTCTTTCTTACAACGAACCAGGCAGAAAATATCTTCAGCTTTGTAAGCCAGATGGTCTGTTACAAGTGCCCAAATCTGCGGGAAAGCAGCCATAGAAAATTGTGAACGGAGGAACGTGGCTGAGCACCAATAAAATTTTATGAATTTCAAATCATTTTCAATTGTCCTCACATATTCACTTTTAGATTTTCCTCCCATTCATTCAAAAATGTCAAATACCATTCTCTGCTCATGGGCTATATCAAAACTATTGGCAACTAGAGGTGACCCGTGGGCTGACGTTTGCCACTTCCCACTCAAGGGTGTTAAAAGTTCTAAATTCCCCAACTGGAAGCCTGTCTTGCTCAATGTGTGGATCTGGGTGCATTTGTGGATTCCTACAGACACACACATTGTTGTGCGTCCTGTCCTTGTTTTGTTCATGAATACATATCTTATCGCTTCCATCAGGTATTGAGGCTTTGTGGGGATAAAGAACTTAGGTCTTATCTGCCTCAGTGCTTGGCCAAAGGTTGTCTGTACTTTGCAGGAGGTAAGTTTTTCTTCATCTTGATGTTGTACGCTCTGCAGGTGTATGCATGGTTTGCAAGCATGACTTCAGATATGTGGATGTCCTTACAAATATACAGTCAGACCATGTCACTCCTTTTACTCAAACCCTTCCTGGGCTCACAGATGTGTTACCCTAACGTGGCCTATGTAATGCATGGTCAGTTTGAACTTCCTCTTGATCTGGCTTTGCCTGCCCTGCCACTGTTCCCCACCCCACTCATTTACCCTGACCAACCTCTTGGTTCCTTAGGAACTTTTCCTGGAATATTCTTCTCCAGCCTTTTTGCCTTATTTATTTTGACTCATCCTTTGCATCTCAATGCCAGCACTACTTCCTCAGAGGAGTAAGCCTCTTTTGAGGGTTGCTGTCTTCTCAGCCTAGGTCAGGTGGTACTGTTCCCCCTTTCATCCCTGTGGGCTTTCCTTCATCTCCTTGTTCATCATTTGTAATGGTACATTTGTCATGTGATTGTTTGATCTTTTGTGTCTTCCCCTAGCCTGAGGGATCCCAGAGGCAAGAAAGTGTCTGCTCACTCACCATGGCATCGCTGCCTCCAGCACGGAACCTGTGCCCAAGAGGGGCTCTGAGAGATGTCTGTCATAGGCATGAACTGACCAGTTTGCTGAGCCTAGTCTGGGGAAGTCAGCTGGCCACTCCCTGCACCCCTTGCCAAGCTCCAGCCCCCTTAGCACAGGGACTCACTCACCGGTTTGTGGATCCATTATAGCAGTAATTTGGGAGAAAGTCGAAGTTTAGCTCCCAGAAGACATGCAGGGTGATGCGGCCGTAGGGGGCTGAAACATTGTGATTGGCCTCCCGGAACATGGCGTCGAAGCTGTCCAGGGTCATGTGCTTACAGAGTAGTCGATGCGTGAGCCGGTTAATCTCCAATAGCCACTCCAGCTCCTGCCCAGACAGAGAACCCACCACTGCTGAGGACTTACACGGGAACCTTACACACGTGCACTCTAGCTTCCTGATTCTTTTCCTGCAGCCTGAAGCCCCTCAGCCAACCTCCTGACTACCTGTATGGGGACTAGGCTGCCCGTGTGGCATGTCACAATGCTCCCTTCTTTTGAGAAATGGATGGAATTTCCAGATTAAGCGAGGACAAGATGGACATAGGGGCCACATGTCTGCCCCCATAAGGAGACCAGGAACTCTGTGTAAATTCCATGTTTGCACATGTTTAGGTAAAGCATGCCTGCTTGCTTTCCAGTTTCTGCACTGGCAAGGAGAAAGCTTATCCCTCAGTGTTGCAGGTAAAATGAAAGAAAATGTGACTCATGGCATCTCCACCCACAGAAAGCAACGTGAGCTGCACCTATTTAAGTGCTCACTATGCGGCTGAATCACGAGCAATATGAAACTGCTGTTTTTCCGTGAACATGGTCAAATACGGGCCATTTTTTATGATTCAGCCTGATTACCGTGTGCCAGTTTTGTGTGTGTTAACTCTGTAACGCTCATCAAACCCTACAGTATGGCTGCTGTGCTTCGTTTACATGGAACGGCTGAGGCTCTGAGAAGTAACATGGAGGCAAATCCAGAAAACTGTGCTCCAAAGTGCACGTTCTTTGTATGTTTTTCCTCTTAGATTTGCCAGAGGGCACATGCACTCACCAGAGAGAGACAGAAAGAGAGAGAGAGGGAAAGTGAGAAGCACTTCCCCTGTAAGGGATGGTCACGTCACAATCCTTTTTCCTCCATCTCTCCCTCCATCTGGAATTCTGGGAAGACACAAACATGTGCCCAGAGTGTTTTTCAAGCTAACGAGTCCAGGACTCAAACCACATAGTCTACCATGTGAGATCCAGTTTCCTTAACCACCATGCCATGGGCTGGTCTCAAAGTGTACATTCTTAACCACTATTTATGGTATCCCCTATAGAAACTTTACAAGAGTGGGGACACTCTATAGGACTCTTGACCATGCAAGGTATGGCTGAAAGCCATGGGCAGGCAGTTAGCTGTTGGCTCATGAAGACCATGGACTTGTGCCAACTGTGGGCCCCGACCTTCTGGAATCTGCCTTCAGGCAGAGGGCGGAATCTGAGTGGATAATATCTGCATGTAGTGGGTCATTGCATGTGTTGGGAAGTAAAGGGAGAGTGAATCGCCTTGCTGCTTCAGTCTCTTGTCTGGAAGTCCCTCAATCACTGCTATCTGAAGGAATCCGCAGTCTCACGCGGAGAGAAGCAGCTCTAATTCTGTGGCATGCTAGGCTACTCCGACATTATGTTTGTTAAAAACCATCTTTAGTCAGAGGTCCAACTTATCCGGTTTCATAGAGGGGGAAAACTGAATCTTGGAAGGTTAAGTAACTTGCCCAAGGTCATACAGAGAGTACATAGCAGGGCTTGGGATATGAATCCAGTTTTCTGATTCTAAATCATGCTTTCCCTGGAATACGGCCATGAGCGCTGTGGAAGTCCTTTCAAAGATAAAGATGGTTTTACAAGATAAAGGCTGAAAACACATCAACTAGGGCAAGTGGCCAGATGACGGCCAGCTGAGGTGGCGAGAGGGCCAGCTTTAATGGCTGCGGCATGGAACTCAGTGGGTCACAGGGTAGTCATATTCATTCTGATCGGCTACAGGGCCCCTAGAGCCCTAGCTGGAGTACAGCTGTGTCAGATGGAAACCACAGGCCACAGTGCCAACCTTGGTACTGAAACTCTGGAACTCTGATTCTATGGCTTCAAGTTGGGGGTGCAGGACTGGGTAGAAGATTGCAAACTTAAATAGTTATAGGGTCAAACAGGGCAGGTCAGTGAGACAAGCTGGGGTTGGGAGGAGTCTCAGGGGTGGACTATCTGGCATGCTGGAGGGACCCTGCCTGGACACATGTATGCTCTGTGCAGCTGCCTCTTCTGATCCTCCATCCGACTGTTGCCATGTCAGAATGGAACTTAATGGTAGCTGGTCCTTCCTGGAATTTTCCAAAAGAAGATCAATTACATAGGTTTCCATTCCAGAATGGCAGCCAGAAGAATGATTTTTCCAGTCACTGTACACAGAAGTGAACGTAGGACAGAAATACGGAGTCAGTTTTCTGCTTCCGTCTCTTAGAGCCCAGCTAGCGCGACGATCACTTAGGGTAGTAAATAATAAATGGGGTGAACACTAATGAGTTTATTTCTAAGAGCACCCGCTAGCTCCCAGAAGACATGCAGGGTGATGCGGCCGTAGGGGGCTGAAACATTGTGATTGGCCTCCCGGAACATGGCGTCGAAGCTGTCCAGGGTCATGTGCTTACAGAGTAGTCGATGCGTGAGCCGGTTAATCTCCAATAGCCACTCCAGCTCCTGCCCAGACAGAGAACCCACCACTGCTGAGGACTTACACGGGAACCTTACACACGTGCACTCTAGCTTCCTGATTCTTTTCCTGCAGCCTGAAGCCCCTCAGCCAACCTCCTGACTACCTGTATGGGGACTAGGCTGCCCGTGTGGCATGTCACAATGCTCCCTTCTTTTGAGAAATGGATGGAATTTCCAGATTAAGCGAGGACAAGATGGACATAGGGGCCACATGTCTGCCCCCATAAGGAGACCAGGAACTCTGTGTAAATTCCATGTTTGCACATGTTTAGGTAAAGCATGCCTGCTTGCTTTCCAGTTTCTGCACTGGCAAGGAGAAAGCTTATCCCTCAGTGTTGCAGGTAAAATGAAAGAAAATGTGACTCATGGCATCTCCACCCACAGAAAGCAACGTGAGCTGCACCTATTTAAGTGCTCACTATGCGGCTGAATCACGAGCAATATGAAACTGCTGTTTTTCCGTGAACATGGTCAAATACGGGCCATTTTTTATGATTCAGCCTGATTACCGTGTGCCAGTTTTGTGTGTGTTAACTCTGTAACGCTCATCAAACCCTACAGTATGGCTGCTGTGCTTCGTTTACATGGAACGGCTGAGGCTCTGAGAAGTAACATGGAGGCAAATCCAGAAAACTGTGCTCCAAAGTGCACGTTCTTTGTATGTTTTTCCTCTTAGATTTGCCAGAGGGCACATGCACTCACCAGAGAGAGACAGAAAGAGAGAGAGAGGGAAAGTGAGAAGCACTTCCCCTGTAAGGGATGGTCACGTCACAATCCTTTTTCCTCCATCTCTCCCTCCATCTGGAATTCTGGGAAGACACAAACATGTGCCCAGAGTGTTTTTCAAGCTAACGAGTCCAGGACTCAAACCACATAGTCTACCATGTGAGATCCAGTTTCCTTAACCACCGTGCCATGTGGTGGTCTCAAAGTGTACATTCTTAACCACTATTGGGCTGGTCTCAAAGTGTACATTCTTAACCACTATTTATGGTATCCCCTATAGAAACTTTACAAGAGTGGGGACACTCTATAGGACTCTTGACCATGCAAGGTATGGCTGAAAGCCATGGGCAGGCAGTTAGCTGTTGGCTCATGAAGACCATGGACTTGTGCCAACTGTGGGCCCCGACCTTCTGGAATCTGCCTTCAGGCAGAGGGCGGAATCTGAGTGGATAATATCTGCATGTAGTGGGGCATTGCATGTGTTGGGAAGTAAAGGGAGAGTGAATCGCCTTGCTGCTTCAGTCTCTTGTCTGGAAGTCCCTCAATCACTGCTATCTGAAGGAATCCGCAGTCTCACGCGGAGAGAAGCAGCTCTAATTCTGTGGCATGCTAGGCTACTCCGACATTATGTTTGTTAAAAACCATCTTTAGTCAGAGGTCCAACTTATCCGGTTTCATAGAGGGGGAAAACTGAATCTTGGAAGGTTAAGTAACTTGCCCAAGGTCATACAGAGAGTACATAGCAGGGCTTGGGATATGAATCCAGTTTTCTGATTCTAAATCATGCTTTCCCTGGAATACGGCCATGAGCGCTGTGGAAGTCCTTTCAAAGATAAAGATGGTTTTACAAGATAAAGGCTGAAAACACATCAACTAGGGCAAGTGGCCAGATGACGGCCAGCTGAGGTGGCGAGAGGGCCAGCTTTAATGGCTGCGGCATGGAACTCAGTGGGTCACAGGGTAGTCATATTCATTCTGATCGGCTACAGGGCCCCTAGAGCCCTAGCTGGAGTACAGCTGTGTCAGATGGAAACCACAGGCCACAGTGCCAACCTTGGTACTGAAACTCTGGAACTCTGATTCTATGGCTTCAAGTTGGGGGTGCAGGACTGGGTAGAAGATTGCAAACTTAAATAGTTATAGGGTCAAACAGGGCAGGTCAGTGAGACAAGCTGGGGTTGGGAGGAGTCTCAGGGGTGGACTATCTGGCATGCTGGAGGGACCCTGCCTGGACACATGTATGCTCTGTGCAGCTGCCTCTTCTGATCCTCCATCCGACTGTTGCCATGTCAGAATGGAACTTAATGGTAGCTGGTCCTTCCTGGAATTTTCCAAAAGAAGATCAATTACATAGGTTTCCATTCCAGAATGGCAGCCAGAAGAATGATTTTTCCAGTCACTGTACACAGAAGTGAACGTAGGACAGAAATACGGAGTCAGTTTTCTGCTTCCGTCTCTTAGAGCCCAGCTAGCGCGACGATCACTTAGGGTAGTAAATAATAAATGGGGTGAACACTAATGAGTTTATTTCTAAGAGCACACGCTCCCTGCCACAGTGCAGTGCCCTGTTTCTTAGGAATACACTGAGGAACTATTTGGGCATGTGCACTCAGTGGACAGAGAGAGAGAAAGAGAGAAAGCATCCTAATGGGGAAATGGTCCCACCACAAAACCTTCTCCCCCATTTCTCCATCCTTTCAGGACTTTGGACAGGCATGCATGCTGTATATTTCTCAAGCCACTGGGTCCGGGACAAAAACCATGCAGTCGCTCATGTAGGATCTAACAACATTCACTACCACGCTATGGACTGGCCCCCCGAGGAATAATTTCTACAATTCTTAGATTTCCTTTTTTTTTTTAAGAGAGATTTTTGTTATAGAGTACATGCACTCACTAAAGAGAGAGAGAGAAAGTGAGAAATCACTCCCCAGGGGTAATCTCCTCCATTCTCTTCTTGGGATTTTGGGCTATGTATATATATATTATATTTTAAAAAATATTTTATTTAATCTTATTTATTTTTCCCTTGACTAGAGAGGGCCAGAGAGAGAGCCTGAAAAGTCACCAGACCTGGGACTCAAACCACGGCCAGCCAAATGAGAGTCCAGCACCCTCAACCACTACTCCACCTACTGGCCCCTCCCAACCTGGTTAAGCCACTCAAACCATGGTTGACAACATGGGACTCCAGCAATGTAACCATGATGCCATCTGCTGGTCCCTGGTTTCCTTTTCTTTTAAAGACAGGGCCTTTCCATGTCCTGTTCCTCCTGCTTCTGCCTCCTAGGTGGAACTACAGGCATGCACCACTGTGCCTGGCTCTCTTTCAGACAGGGTCTCGCTATACTGCTCAGGCAGTCTTGTGCTCATGGGTCTCCTGCCTCCGCTGCCTGGTCACTGGGATTACAGGTGCTCACCACAGCATCCAGCTGTAGGTTGGACTCGGAATTGAATCCAGATATCCCACCTGGTCTGAGCCTGTGGAGTACGGCATCTTAGCAGAAAGTGCCGTTGTGGCTGGGCCTATTCTGTGATTTTTATCAGTCTCACAGTAAGTACCAGAGTTTCCAAGGGAGACCAACAGAGTCCTTGACTATGTTGATGTAGGGGCTGCTGGAAGATCCGCTTCTCCCTCCATGTTATGATACACAAACTGCATTTTTACATCACATTTTTTGATTTGTTCTTCTGGCCTTCAAGGCATGGAAATGGTTTATAAAGCAACATGAGCAGTAGGGGGGCCTTCAACGGTGATCTCAGCTTTCTACTATGCAGACGGTTGTGTGGTCTCAGGCAGATAAGAGCAAAGGCCTCAAAACCAGGCACAGAGAGGCCTGATGGGCCATACACAGGAAGGAGGTGGGGCCTGCAGGAAGGAGGTGGGACCTACAGGAAGGAGGTGGGGCCTGCAGCAAGTGGAGAGCACAGCCTGTCTAACAAACTTCTAGTCACTTCCGGGCCGCTGCTGCCACCTGGGAATGCCTGTCTGGTGTAGCCAGAGCTTCTGAAGTTTTACTCCAATTCTTCCAAATGTTAAATGTTGGCTCAATATTACAAATACATTATGCAGCCTAGACAAAACACAGCCCACAGTCTGCCGGTTTTCAACTTCAGTACCAGAGCTTGCTGGGAGACCATTTGCTTCAGCCGTGTAAAACGAGACAAGTTCCCACATCTCTGTAACCACTCCCAGCTCAGAATCAAGTCACCTCCCCAGCTCAGAATGATGTTTTTAAGGCGAAGGGAAGGGTCATGGGAAGCACATTTCTATGCTGGTTTCTTACAAGGCAAGTGGGGGCGGTCCTAACCCTCAGAAGAACATTTCCCTCAGGTCTCTTCGTGGTCTTCACTGATAACAAGTGCTGGGAGGGGGCACTGCCCCGCCCTGGTACGCTTTCAAGGCTTGTTTTGATTTTGTTCCCAGCTAAAAGAACAGTCAGTGCCTTTCTAGGGATGGAAAGAGGCCACAGACACACGCATGCCTGAATCATTTGTTCCCCAAGAGATGCTCATTATTGGAAACAAAACGAGAAAAACAAAGAGTCTCACCAATTACTCATTTTCTCAAAATTAAGGTGGCCAAATGATTTCACTGCAGAACGAGTGCTAGACTACAGTCTCCTGAAGGAAGCGATCTGGACTTGAACGAGAAGTTGCTTCGAGCAGGTCCTCTAAGCCATGCTGTGCAAATCACCCAAGAACACCGCACTGCTCCCTCAATTCCTCGTCCTCTCGTCTTTCTTCAAATGCCATCTTTCACGGAGTGCTTACTATGTACAAAGAACCTCCGAAGCTCTTTGCAGGCAGTATCTCCTTTTACCCTTATAATAACCCTTGGGGTAGATTCTAATATTTCTTCCATTTTGTAGGTGAGGAAACAGGTTTGGAGAAGCTAAGTAACTTGTCCAAAATCACCCAGTATGGGACTAAGACTGGAATCCCAAGTCTGTCTGACTCAAGAATTCTAGTTCTTCCTTAGTCATTTTATTTTTAACCACTTTGTCCACTTAAAGAAAATGAAAACAAAAATGTTTTATTTTGAAATAATTTTGAACTTACAGAAAAGTTGCAAAAATAGCAGAATTCCTGCATATCCTTTACCTACCTTCTTTGATGTTAACATAATGTCTAACTGTAGTGAAACTGCCAAAAGTAGGAAATTTAAAAAAATTATTTTATTATTATTATAATTATTATTTTTATATTTGCTATAGGGTACATGCACTTATCAGAAAAAAAAAGAGAAAGAAAGAGAGAGAGAGAGAGAGAGAGAGAGGGAAAGTGAGATTTAGCTGCCTTAAACACCAGATCTTTTGTGTGTGTGCACACCATTTAGATGGCATTTGTGTTCTCAGAGACAGAAAGAGAGAGAGAGAGAGGGAGGAAAGCATTTCTCATTGGGAATGGTCACACTGCAATCTTTTATCTCTCTCTCTGTCTTTCCTTGAGATTTTGGGC